TTCTTTTTATTGTCATGTTTGTTTCCTGTTATATTCATTAGCGAGAGTAGACACAAATTTTTCACCTCTTTTATTTTGGTTACTTGGCACAGACTTCCCAAGATAATGCTAATATCAAGGCGTCGCTTATGACCGATTTCATACAGTTGGGAAAGAGTTACGCTTCGCCAATCACCCTCTCCGCCCTGGGATTTATCGTTCCTTCTATCTTTTTCTTCTTCTCTGGCTTAGAGGATTGGAACCCACGAGTCCGAGTCAACGTGGACTTGGCTAGGTATGTGGTGTATGCGTCCCACAATGTTTGATAAATTTAAAACGAAAACGGTAGTTATCGAAAAGGTAATTAATTACTCGATATAACATCTCCACTGTGATTCAAATGTTTTTCAGAACGGTTCTCTTAAAGTTGGCCTCGGTCGCAGTTCTTCTTATCTCTTTGTATAACAGAATTAACAAGACCTGCATGTTGGTAGGTGACTGCACCATTCAGTTGTAAATTCCTTAAGGCAGTGTCCTGTCTGTCTATCTGTCCTTTTGTCTCTTTGTGCGTGTACCTATCTGTTTGACTATCTGACTGTCTTCCTGTCTGCCCGTGTATCTTTCTGTCTGTCTCTGTCTTTCTGTCTATCTGTTTTTATATCTGTCCTCTGTCTCTCTATTTGGTTAGTGTATCTTTCTGTCTGTTTGTCACTCGAGGGGTGGCTTGTTTTGGCCAACCTTTAACTTTTGCTCTTTTATGTCCATCAGTGCTGGGAGAATGCCATTGCGGCAGAAATGTACAAGTTGGTGTGGACCGACTTTTTCGTCACACTGTTGGTTATAATTGCTGTTCAAACTCCTCGAAGGTGATGGAGGTGTTTTTTCTTGAAAAATGATGCATATTTTTCCTCTTATAGTTAAGATGTGCTTTTGCAATTTGGATCTTGCTTTTATTTCAGTTTATTTTCCCCATGTTTGCCCCCCACCAGTGATCGAGACAGAATTTCTCCTCATAACATCCATACAATATCAAGCGGACAGACGATGAGAATTAAGAGAGATATCACTGTTGGGATTTTTAGTTGATCCATGTCAAATTCCCCAAACAAACGTCATAAGATTTGTACGGCAGATAGTAAGGAGAATTTCTCATGAGATCTTAAGAATGAAAAAGTGAAAGGTTTGTTTTCTAGTCCGCTTAACTTCGGTTAGTTTTTCCTCAGGTTATTTGCTGATCACGTTAGTTTAGGATGTGACATGGGAAGAAAAGTTGGCCGCCCTGAGTTTTTTCTTCCAGTTAACGTGCTTGAACTTGTTTATAGTCAGGCTCTGATATGGTGAGTGTTAAAAACAAATTGTGGTGTCAAAATTGAGCAAAATGTCGACAGCCTTGATTTAACATTGAACGCTGTCTGTTGCAGTAAGTGTTCAGAATTATTTTAGAGTTACATTTTTTGGTAGGATTGGTACGTGGTACAGTCCATTTCTGCCTCTCATGGCCATCATAAAGCTACCAATTACTTTCTACGCCAAAAAGGTAAGATGGCAGACGATTTTATCCTCTTTACCGTAGCCTCTTCTAGGCGTTCAGTTTGTAGAACGTAGAGCACAATATTAAACGGCGCGACATTAGTAGGGAATCGAAAATAGGGGAAGGTCTGGGTCGAGTCGGGAAATGAACTTTACGCAGTGCGACCCTAACCTCCCTTCGCCGCTGCTATTCCGCCATAGTCTCATACCCAGATCTTTCACAGCCAAGCGGTTATAAGATACAGTTTCAAAGTAGGATCTGGGTACGAGATTAATTACGTCATTTACTATAACCGCTCTCCGTTTTACTAACTTCACGCCTGGAACAAGCTTTCTTAATTATAAACTAGAATATTTAGGACTACACTCAGTAGTGTCTTTCGTGTTTTAGTCAATCAGATGTATTGATATCACGACGTGATGATTAATTCAGTCCTCGATTCCAAGGATCACCGGGAGGGAAGCCCCTTTTGGCACGCCCTCAGAAGACTCTGGGACCGATTCTTCAGCGTTCACTTTGGTACACGATAAGGGAGGGGGATCTCTGTTTATGGAATCACCTCTTTGTGTTATCCCCTGTTCCTACTGAGCATGCTATGGGTGTGACCGAGTACCAGGTAGTATAACTGGGTGGAAAAACTGGGCGGGACAACGGGGTTCATTAGTCAAGGCTGGCCTGGCATATCACAAAATTCTAAATAAGGGTTTAGACGCCCCTGTCAGATACCTTGATCAATAATCAAGTGAAAAATTCTGCAGTTCCGAGAAATTACCAGACTTAGCGCACGCACCCTAGGCGAAACGAACCATTTCGAGATGGTTTTAAACACCTAGTCTCTATTTCTTTCAGGCGACTGTGTTTTATAATTGTAGAGCAGCGGAGAAAGCCTACCGTGCTGGGAGATCAAACTATTTTTTCATGATTCTGTTGCTCGGGACTTTCCTTCTTTGCCTGGCTGCTGTGGCTTATGGAGTTACCCAGTAAGAAGCTAAACATGGTAGAATCAAATATGAAAGTGAAATGAAGTAGCTCTTTATTTGTAGAAATTCGTGTTTTGGCCAAGGTGGACGGATTGACCGAAAATTGTTGCAGCAGGTGATGAGGAAATTTCAATGCACTGGTATTTTTCCACCTCAGAAAATTGCCAACCCTTTTTCGGATTTAAGTCTACTGCAATTTTTACTAACACAACGCTTCACTCAAAATACGGCTCTTTTGATAAAGGAATGAGAAGTCGTTAGCAATTGTTAACGGGATATATCTGTTTAGGGTTATCCATTCTATGGACGTTTCGATTTTTTTCGCATTGTTTACGTGAGAGCGATTGCTTGTCGTGTTTTCCTTTAAAATTTCGAGCGGGAAATTGACACGCGGCCGGTCAAAACGGATCTTTCTTTCTGCGCATGCCCTACGTTTGACCGCTGTGTTTTCGATTCATGGCACAAAGGCGACGATACGCAGTGCCATTTCATTGTCCTTTTCATTAACATCGGTTTTCCTTTCATCCTTTTGCACTGATTATCATCCAGAGGTACTAACATTTCTCTTGTGTGATTTCCATTCCAGAATTCGTCCGTCAGAATTGTATGGGCCATTTAGGTAAGTTTGCAGTTGTTTTGGTCGGCAGAGCGGCTACGACTAATAGGCCATTTAACAATTATGTACCTAGTTGCCAAGCCTTTTATTTGGATTGAGGCTGAGTCAACCTTGTTGTGATGAAGACCAGTATCTATTTAGCATGATAAAAAAGTAATTTACATTTGAAAAGCAGCAAGGTTTGTGTCATGACGAGGTCACCCTTGGCATCATTCCTGATCAAAGGCTTGGCAACCAAGTATACAACTGTAAAATGAGTTATTGCAGAAGCTTTAAACGACTGACAATTTTTTAATGAATTTTCAGTGGATTCAATGAAGTTTATGACATCATTCCTTGGACTGTGTCCATTCTTCCTACTGGATTTCGTGACACCTTTCAAATTCTCGGCTCGCCTGTCTTTCTTGTTGTTCTTGGGGTCATCATTTGGTAAGAGCTGGTGACTTTGGTTTTATAGTGTGTTTCAAGCACTTTTTAGTTTTTGAATCCCACCTTAAAATAGATTTTAGGGTGCTGATTCTAACAACTGACTCCGCTTTAAACGAAGTCTGCTCCTTCGAACATTATATTTTTATAACGTCTTTATTTGGCAGCCGAATTTTCCAGGCAGTTAGTATATCCTTATGTACTGCTGATAAATAGCTTTTTTATTTTTTCAGTCTCAGTTTATACTTCTTCTATGCCATAGCAAAGGTTTACCGAAGAATGATAAGTGGTCTTCGAGAAGAACTTTCCATGGTAATATGTCTCTTCGACTACTGAGGCGCTTACTTCTCCATCTCGCTGAGAAGAGTTAAGATTCCTTAGGATTGTGATACTGAGTAGAAAACCTGATGTTTCAATTATGTAGACACTGTATGTGAACCTCTTCTACAGGTGAAAACTCTTCGAATAGCAGAAGGTGAAATAAGGCTCTAATTTAAGGGGAAGTTTCCATGAAATTTTTACAAATGTCTTGCTTGGTTTAATGGAGTATTTTGCAGAAATGCTATTTAAATTTTCGGGAAAAACCCGTTTTCGAACATCATGCTATCACTTACTATGCAGAGTAACGGCTTCAATTAGAATTTTAGGCTGCAAAACAGTTCTCACTGGTACGAAACCATAAGTTACAAGGTGATGTCTATTTCAAAGGAACACAGTTCTATTTTTTATGTAGGAATGTTCATTTCAGTTGAAATTCGTATGCTAAAGATTTTTATTACTCTATCCTTAAGGAATCCAGAGATAAGAAGTATCTTCTACAGCTGTTCGCGAGTCAATCGGATGAGAAGAGCTGAAGAACAGTGATGAAATCGTTTCAACGTCGTGACGTCATTTTCCAGAAGATTGGACGCATAAAACTTAATGCGCAGATCACATTTGCAATATTTTTGTAATTCTTAGGTGAAAGGAATGGTTGTAGTTTCTTTTTTTTTTCGCCGAAGCAACTGGAAAATAGCACAAGGGAACTTTCTAAGTCCTTGTAAATTCCGTAACGAAAACAGGGGCGTGGCGGGGAGCGTGGGGGGAGGATTTGGGACGGTTATGAAACCATGCAGGTTCTTGCACCCCCACTCAGAACTTAAAAGGCATGTTTTGTAATGAGACACCTCAATTTCAGGTGTAACATATAATCAGTTTTTGAGCCGCTAAGATAAATGTATTTTGGAATAAAATAGGTTGTTACTGTCTATAGAAATTCTAACTGCGAATATTTTTTAGTCGTAAAAGATTTGCGAATTCCACCAAATTGTTCCCAAAATGTCAAAAAAAAAAATTATCCCGTCTTGGCCACAGATGATACAGTTCCCCTCTGTACCTGATCTTTCCTCATTTACTTGCTATCCTAGGTGGATTCAGATTGATGCTCCTTCGAAATATTTCGATAAACATATTCAAGAGTTATCGATGGTTAATGGTTGAATTTCCTGTTAACTTTATTATTCCTATTTTAATCGCTCTCCTGTCTAGAGGTAACAGTGCTGGTTTTGAAATTAAAATTTTTTGTTAATATTTAATTAACCCCCAAAAATAAAGGGTTACCACCTAAAGATTTCAGTTGTGAATGGTGTTGAATCAATGAGATTGTCACCCTGAACACAGGTGAAACTAGTTGTACATATTAATGAAAAGTTTTCTGATGTTGATTCCCTGAGAGTGATAGCAGCTTTAAGGGAAGTAAAGTGGTCATTCGTCCTTTTCATGAGTTCGTTTAAAAGGCACTATAGTGATTTGCAAGATGCTATTTCCGACTTGCCATCTAGTCTATATCTCCATTTCTTAACCCTGTTGCACAAACTACCTCTTATTACGCTTTCCTCTTAATCAATACTAACTCGGATCGTTCCGAATTTTGGACCCAAGAAAGGATTAGCAATCTTCGTACAGCACACGAACTTGATACAAACTATCGGAGAGCACGGATCGTCGTAATTCTCGTAGCCAGCCCGAATCTCATCCCGGAGCCAGTTCGTTAACCGATTAAAGTCGTCCGGACTGAAAAAGAGCTGTACAACCAAAGCAATTGCTCCGGCGTCTATTGGTGTGTCATGCGCCCTCAATACTTCGTGTAAAAGTTCCGATCTTTTTCCGAAGCCACCGAGGAGCACGATGGAGGCTGATGCATCCTTATGGATATAACCATTTCTTTCGAACCCACCTTTTTCCAGAACCCCATCCTTGCCGAACAACTGGAACATGACATTGGCCATGTATCTGTTGACCGGAAAGTTAATAGTGGCTGTACTGAAAGTGGGAGCTATCGTCGACTCTGGGATCTCGTCACGTTTCAGATCGGCTTCATCTAAGGATTGTTGTTGGACGTCTTCATGTGCTGTGGAGTTTTTAATGATTGTGACGACTGGTTTCTGGTAAAAGTTCAACAAAACTGGAAAAGAGGAAAAGGCTCTGAACTGTCACAGTTGTTTTAGGAAAAATTTGCTTTTTCTAAAGAACGGTCATTATTTTTCGCGACGATTGGTCGCCCTTCCGTTCCCCCTGAAAACCATGTGTTGCGCGCCTCCCTCCCCCCCTTCCGAAAAAATTGTTCTCCGACTCCCCACCCGGTCGATAAATATTTTTGCTGGACAAGATGAAATTTAGCCTTATTTCGGTTTCTGTGTATTCCTTGTTGGAAATAGCATGGGTTCTGATTAAAAAACAAAATGCTTCGAGTCAACAAAGCTGTTTGTCGAAATCAAAAGTGATATTTAGTCCATTTATCCTTACTTGTTATCGAACAGAGAAAAGAGTTGCCGACTTCAGTTTTTGCAAAAGATTATCGGAAAAAAAGCAATAGGAAAATAATTAGTTTGAAGTTCCTGTAATCGACACCTTTTCTTTCCATTTCCTAAAGAAATTGTGGTAAAGATATAACCAAATGTTTTCGGCACACTCTCTTCCGATATCCTATTTTTTTTTTTTTTTATCTGATCTGTGATTTCCAAGCATACGAGAAAGGGCACCACTCATTCGATTTTGAAAGACAGGCAATGATCATGTATTGATACTGTGAAATCAGTTTCCGTCGCCGTAATTTAAAGCTTGTAGCATTAAAGTCAACTGTTATCGACGACTACTGAAGCTTTAGGAAAAAAGGTAAGCGTGAATATAAATTATTTCAACCAAAATAAATACTTTTAAATCAGTGCTATAAAAAGAGTGCTTAAGGTGTTATTTATTCTGGGCTATTTTATGCCTGTTTTCATGCTCTGATGCAGCAATTGCGACTCCCCCAGGTTGACCTGCATTCGCTTAATTGAGAGCAATTGAAGAAGAACATTCCATGGTCTATACATTTCTCAGTAAAAGGCAGTGTCCTGCTCACTTGAATGTAATCGCAAAGGACAATTGATTCATTAACTTACATCTGAAAGTGTTCTTCGCTGTTTCGCTGGCAGAATATACTTGTTGCGGATAAAATAGCGCAATTCCCATTGCGATGAGATAAAGGCCTGATTTTTCCATTGCTTTCGGTCAGAAAGGGAAGATAACTTTTCAAGCCGTACTTTCTGAGCTACGCTCAAGTTGAGGGCAAATTTGAGTTTCCTTGGAAACAGACATCCTCTTGTGAGAATTTCACTGTCAATTTTCTTTGTGTTGTGCACACAAATGTCAGATTTTCTTTTGTTGTGTTATTTTTGGAAGATTTTTTAATAAAGACTTTTCGAAAACACTTGGAAAAGTGAGAAATAATTTTTTGATAACTTTTAATCCATAAATTCCGTGAATGAGACATCATAAGTCTAAAATGACCTGTACAGCCGGAAGATATTTTTTTCATGACATAAGATCGATTGTGGAATGCTCTATGACTTATGCAAAGATAATGTCTCATTCTTTCTCTTCAGCTTTTAAAAGACCTAATTGTTTCCTACACGCTTAGAAAAATGCATAACTATATACCTGAATAAACACTTCTTTCTATTTTACAAATTTGATTTATGTTTATGTTGCATAACACGTACTATTTTGATTTAAATAATTTTTCAATGAGCATGTTCGATAAGCACTTGGCCTTCCCTGTTCTCGAGCTTAAAGAGAGTGTTCTTGTCTCAACTCTTCAAATTTGGCAGTGGTTTGATATTGTAAGTTTTTCTTCTACAAGCATCTTTATCTTCTATAATGTCACAATTTTGTTTAGTTTAAAGAGAGTTAATTGTGCCATGTGTATGTTGATATAGACACGGTACTTTTTAAATCAGCAGTTCAGAACAAAAATTTGCAAAAATTTTAAACTTACGAACTCTTTCACTGCTTACGGAGCTCCGTATTTTTTTGGACAGACGCGCGACATAGTCAAAAAAAAAAAATTTTTAATTTATTGAAACAGAGACAGTGAAAGAGGTCAATCTTATGCTACTGGCGTGCCCGATGACGCTTACGTGATGTCTTCCGGATATCGATGAGTCACTTGTTTTAGGAGACGCTCTTGACCTGCGCTGTGCATTTCTTCTAATTTTCCTTAGCGACCGGAAGAGAATTCGATACGTGTCCTTGAACTTCCGGTTCCTGAGAGAATAGATGAAAGGGTTTAGGGCCGAGTTGAGGTATCCCAGCATAAGTAGCGCGACGGATACTTCCGGTGGGGATTTAAAAAAACACGTTTTACAAAGGCCAAAGACAGTGCTAGTTACACTGTAAGGAAGCCAGCAGATGAACAATGCACAAACTATCACAGCAATTGTCTTAGTTCCTCTGAGATTTCGCTTAAAGTGTCTTTGATCGCGCGAGGAAGGGTGTCGGGCAATGTGGCCAGGAAAAGAGTTTTTACCCTCACCCAGCTCGTGGCATTGTTTCACGTTTTGTGCGATGCGATAAATCTTGAAATAAATTCCGCCGATGATCAGCAATGGTAGTATGAAGTGAAGGATGTTGCTTACAACTGAATAGGTGAACGTGATGTTGAAATTGCAGTAACCTCCAACAACGTAATGAGGCATACGTCGCCACCCCATGACAGGCAGTAAGCAGAACGCCAGGGAGTAGCACCATAGGAACACCACCACAAAACGAGAGGTTCGGATGGATAAGAACCTCGATTTGCGAAACCTTCTTAGCGGATCACTCAGGGTCTTGTATCGATCAATCGTAAAGACCAGGAGCGTCAGTATCGATGTAGGGACACTGAACAGATAAGTCGTTGTCCATACAATGCAGAGAGTTTCGCTATGTTTCCAGGCGCTGTTCTGGAGTAGGCTTTCAGCGTCAAACGGCATTGCGAAAATGGCAGTTAACAGATCACAGAGGGCCAGTGAAAAGATGAAAGACATGGCCGGTGAAGAGCGAAGACTTTTATTCAGGCAAATTGCCAGACATACGAGGCTGTTGCCGAGAAGGGAGAATGCGATAATCAAGGAATAACAGACGATGGAGATACTCACAAATACGGGGTTCCACGAAGAACTGATGTTCTCCTTGCCCAAAGAGGTATTGTTCATCATTGCTTTTGTGCTTCAGTCAAAGTGACCCCTTCGAATCAAAGCAGTCAAATTATAATGAAGCAAAATTGAAAGCAATTATTAACAGCTCACAGATTAAGGCTCTAATGGAAATTAGAACCAAAACAAAATATGGACCCAATTTTGTCATAGAAACTAAGTGTGTGAGATAAAGTGGTCCTATTTGACACTGATTTAAAAACCGATAAAAGTAACTCTTTAACTTGAAAAGAAAAAATGGTATGAGGTAAGGAAATTGGTTAAAGAGGTTTTCTCAACTTATTAGGGTTGAATGGCAATTATAACTAAATCTGACTTAGAAAGTGTTACATTCATTTGCCACTTTTTAAATCCATTTGCCAATTTTTGTGTTAGGTGGATTTACGGATTTATTGGTAATTCTAACTGAAACGAAAATTAATTCTAGGAAGTATCATTCACCCGAGAGTGACAGTCCTAAAAAGACCTTCCTTCGCATGAAATAAAAGCAGTAATGAGGAAATTAGTTGAAATCACTTTTTAACCTCTAAGGTACACATACAAAAAAAGCTTTTAGGGAAATCAAGATCAAAGAAAAAATTCATCAAAATTCTGATTGCCACGGCTATTCGATTAAACAACATGACAAGGTAAATTTAACCTCAAATCTTTTGCAGTGAAGCGAGGTCTTGCCTGTATAAGGTTTTTTTAACACATTTCCTTTAAAAAAAAAAGAATCATCCATCAAATGTTGCAAGTTATGTCCGGAAAAGTATTTTCTCGAATGTCTCTTGGAATTGGCCCAGCCGAAAAAACGCACCAAAACATAAGCAAAGGTTGTTTCGCCAGGGGCTTTTAATCATCAGGTAATGGATAGCTGAAGATTTTAAGCGGCTAATAGAATTCAAAGCTCCAAATTGTTTGTTTTTGACCCAAAATGCACGACTTATTAATTTTAGCACTTTTTTCATATTGATGAAATAAGAAATGGAATGAATTAATTGCTGAGTACATGCTGTCCATACCTTTATTTTTCTATTAAGCAATTATCTGCCAATGAAGGTGAATAAAGCAATTCTCATAAAAGTAATTCCAGAAAAGCTCTTTTCTTTCGAGGGCTTTCTAATCGTTAATTCGTTATGTTGAAGTGGAACAAAAAGCGCTACTTTTTCGGAACTGTTTTCTCATTTTCTTAAAAACTTTAAAAGTTTTCAAGGTGCATGCCACCCACCTGTTTTTTCCCATTTTATCTTTTGCCTAAAGCACCCATCAATTATGTTTGCCAATATTTAAGTGTGTAAGATTCTTTGAGCGCAAAAAAATATGTGCTACTATCACATGAAATGAACTGTATCGGGATTAAAAATGGCCATTCCAATTAATATTGAGGAGTTTACAGTTTTCAAATGTATATTTGTCTAGGCTGTTGAATTTGATAACAACTGGATGGTGACCATGAATTTTATTTTTTTTATCTTGTACCTTTATTTGTATCAAGGAGAATACTCCATTTTCAAAGAGGGAATGAACGAAATTATGCCAAGTTTTCCTTTCAGATAAAACCTATTTCTATGCCTTTTCTTTATTATTGTTAAAAGCTCTCGACTTCCATTGAAGACCGAAATCTTAAAATACTGGTAATTGCTTCAGACGTTTCTTACATTATTTTCTCTGGACTGACCAAAGAAACGCTAAACTATACATAAATAGCTATTTCAAAACACTAGTCAGTTACCTCTTACTGGTGATGAAAGATTCGAAAAACATACCTTTCTTTTTCTTTTTTTTCAGAGAGACCCGGACTCGATAGCCAAGTGTTTCAATTTAACTCCTAACATCTCTTAGCAAATATGATCAGCTACGAGTTGCTTGTAGTATTTTAAACATCAATTGGTAAAAAGATATTCTTGAACTGAAACACTTTCAATGACACTTCAAGTTCTTTTAGGGTTTTTTCAAGTGTTTCCGACAGCCGCCAACTTGCGGATATCTTCAAATAGTTTACCACTTGTATTCTTTTTTTTTTTCTTTTTTACTTATTGTTTTTGGAGATAAGATGTGACAAAATGAACGCTTTTTTTAGCAAATGTCAAGTATTTTTCCTTTTTCTTTTGCTTCTTTGATTTATTTCAATCGACTGCTTTTGTTACATTTTCTAAATGATGTTGCAAAATTCTCTTGGGCAGATGATCATTCCCACGCATAAATGTTATTCATAAAAACAAAGAATCAAACAGAGAAAGACCCTGGTTCACGATTGTAGGCTAGAAAGTCTAATAGTAAGAAATCACTGCAATTACATAATCACTGCGATCCATTGTAAGACAATCATTTCAACTGTTCGTAGCTACTCGTTACTTTCGATTCAAAAATCAATAATTGTCTCAGCAGAACTTACGTACGTGACCCTATGGCAGGAAATGACAATTGAAAATTTCCACGCATCCTTTACATCTATTCGGTTACATCAAATAAAGCAATTGCACCCTCAAAAAAGTAAACATCATCGCCTTTCGGCTTCAAGTTAATAACTTGGTATTGACAGTTGGTGGTGCTTCCTCTGGGTCATATGAGAGAAGGAATATCATGGCGTGAAATGCAAAAGTCTTTCGACCTAAAATTTTACTCTCTTTTTAAAAGCTCAAGATCTGAAAAACTGAAACGTATGGATCAAGTTTATTGAGTTTCTTATTTAATAATATTTGCTTGTATACGCTTGTAGAAGGACCCTAAAATAATTTTAATGTTAAAAATATCTGGATCAAGCGACACAATGTATTTTACTGACAATAAAATTTGTGGTAGTTTCTCTTACCTTAGAAATTACTTATTATGTAAATGTAGCTATAAATCATTTTAGTCTGCTCCATATTTTGCTTCCAGAATAATTTGATCAGTGAGGTTTTTGGATCATTTAAGCCATTCTCTTTGTATGGACAGTTTTTAACAGTTTGGAAAAGAGATCACAAAGAAAACCAAGACTCAAAACCTTTAGAATTTTGTGTTAAAATGTTTCTGCTAGTTTCATTTCAAAGTAACAAGACTGAAGGTTGAGATGTTAATAAGTCGTATGTTTTTTTAGAGTCTCTACACCAGTTCGAGGCTACAAGATAAATTGTGATGTTTTGTTTTGCGATGGGTCAGACTTTGACCAATTTATACTTTATACAATTAGAAAGTGTTTCTATTCTTAGTACTTTAGTACATCTGTTTCACTCCCCCTTCCCCAGTGATAAGGTCATTTGAACTAAAAACTGCACTTTTTCGTTTTAATATGGTGGTTGGTGTTAGTGCTTTGTTTCTTGTATAGACCCTCTTGAGAGTTAATTGAGATATCACGCGCGCTCCGCTTTGTCAAAACCTTGGATATAAGGATATAAAAAATGAGCAATATTTAAATAACTTTATTCAATTGTTTTTTTAGACAGACATTCTAATGATGAATTGCAGCCACTTAAAACATAATTTCCTATTTTTATGACTTAGTTTTGAAAATTCTGCCTGTCATCTTTCAAGTTTACTTGAGAAAATCCGATTTAATATTCTCTAGTTTGCTTACCTATGCTATTATTGAAATGCTATTTTTTCCTTAAACTATTCTCTAGTTTCATGAGTTTATTTCATAATCACTCGCTCACTTCTAAAATTCGCAAATAAACTGAACTATTTTCTGGTAAACCTCTGTGGGGGCAATTGTATGGCGTGAAAACCAACAAAAGAATAAAGTATTCGCCTGAGCACATGCCTAAAATGGCTTTAAATTTTTTTATCAACAGGGTAATTTTTTAAAAAAACTGTGGTGCTGCGTCGGTGGGAGAGTATAGCAGGTGATTTAGTGTTAACAACTGAGTTGAAAACTTAAATTAGCCACCGTAAAGGGTAGAAAAGCTCACGTTTCGAGCGTTAGCTCTTCGTCAGAGCGATGTTGTCTCCAGGCCACATTACATTACAATCACATTACAGCAGACCGCAATTGTAAAACTTTGTTTTAGAATTTCGGGTGTCGTGCATTGGTAGTAATTATCAGAAAAATATTTTGAAGGCTTTCGTCATCCATTAAATCTTCAAGGTAGACGTTTAACCAGTTGTTTAGAGAATTTTTCATTCAGTGAGTAAATAATGTTTATTAGCACGAGTTAACAAACCAATCAGAGTGTTTGGATCACCAATAGGGACCTTAAGCAGTCAGGACGGCAACGCCAAGGAAGACTTCGATTAAAAAAATGAAATTCTGCCTTTAGTTAGAATTAAAATTAATTTGCCGCCGCGGTTTCGGTTCGCAGACGACGCAAACTTCACGTCGTTGTTTTGCATGGGACTGCTAAGAAATGTACAAAGCTTTAAAACAAACGTGCTGAGCTATTGTTCCGCCGATTAGATCTTTTGTTTTTCCATGTTCTCGTTGCCGTCGCTGTCGTGGTTTCCTTAAGGCCCCTATTATTGTTGAAGGAGTATGAACGTGAACCATTCTCAACGTCTAGGGTTATTTGCACTTCTGGTGAAGTTTATTTACTCAGTCAAATTTTAATCCGGACTACACGTTTTACTTAAAAACATTGAAAGGTCCATCTAGGATTTGTGTTATTAATTTCAAATTCATTTGGACTTCTTTCACCGATTAGTGCGACTTGTAATTCCTTTTTGGTATTTCCTCATTGAGAGGGGCATTGCGATTTTCTGTTTTGAGGTATTGGCTATTTTTTTAAATCGGTTTCTCGGTTTTTGTGCCAAAAAACTTTGGTGTTCATTTCGGTCTGCGGATTTTCCGTTTTTCAGCATTTGGTTTTCACTTTTCGTCAAAACTGCCGAATGGTTTTCGATTTTTCCTGATTGAGTTCCGGTTACTCTTCGATCTGAGCGGCAATTATGCGTCTCCACTGATCTCGAATAGTTGTGAAACCTTTGTACGCTCGAAATCTCTGTTTACACCACTTGCCACCACTGCATCGGATCGATTGATAACTGGGATGTGAAAAGTTATCGGTTTTGACGGTTCTGAATGCGGTTTTCGTTTTGATCGAATTTTTTGGCGGTTTTGCGGTATAAATGATTTTTTCTACGCTGGGTTTTGTGGTTTCTAATAGACCTCAATGTCCCCCTCCTTATTGTGTTCACTTACACTTCAGCTTTCATTCAACCGCACCTGGAAGGCTGTGTTTGCTCAGTTAATAGACAAGTCATCTCCATTTGAATGCTCTGAATAACCTCTATTTTAAGACGTTTTGACATTTTTTTTTTTCGTTCTAGGTGAAAGAACAGCAACCGTCTCAGAGGTCCATGACTAAAATGAAGACCTCATGCAGTCTTGTATTGGCCATAATTTTCGCTGTATTTGTTATAGGTAGGTTTATCTATAGATTTGTATTATTGATTTAAGATTTAAATCTAATAATTTGAAATGTATTCATCATTAATTCTGCAGCTCTTTGTATCAACTTTGTAACTCTTTGATCTAAAAATCTATGTCGATAGACAAGCACTCATCACTTTCAGAATCACATTTCTTTGAAAGATATCGCATAAATCATTTTGCGGTGATGATTAAAAGAAAAAATTTCAGTTTTTAACTGAGATCAAAATCTCGGATACAAAGCGTAAACAATCGGTTGTCACAAATATTTCAGACTAAATAGGCGTCTAGAAAATTATCGAATGAAAGTAATTGATAAATTTAAGTCTAGTCTTACATGCCATCTAGCCAAAAACCCTCTTAAAAAATCGCTTTCTGGTCACGAGATTTTCAAAAAATTTTCAAATTTCTTAATTTCATACGTGGAATAATATGTTTGTCTTTTACTCTGCTGTCGATATGGATTCAGCTGGGCCGATAGATCATCGTAAAGTTCTCCAAGTGAACATTTAGCATTGAATACTTTTCATGTCAGCAGCAAACGAGAAAGATTCGGCCTGTTGTAAATTTAAAGGAAATGGGAAATATTACTTTGCTTCTTGATACCAATTCTGGTTAGAGCTTTGAAGCGTTATCCTCAATTTCTCACAAATGACAAAATTTCTATGCATAACATTGTGAATTGATTTTATCAGCAGTTTTTCTGTTCACGAATTATGATAGAAAGATATGTTCATCCAGTCATGAAGCACAATGGCAAGTTAGAGGAAAGCTTCCAACAGAAACCTTCTGATTTTCCTCGCCACTATTTGAAAGGACACATACAGTGTTGAGATTTGACGTGTTTTGAGATTCGAAAGAGTAACCTGACTTTTCAACAATTGTCTTTAATGTGTCGGAGATTCTGAAACTTGCCTAGCAACCTGGCCGCCAACCTCTGGGGTCTGAAGTCAATTTGTCTCATTTTTTTCCGTTTTTTTTATCTTTTTGAACAATTAGGAGATAGACAGGATGGAATTCTCAACCCAAGTAATGAATATATTGTAGGTGGCGTATAGCGTTGTAAACAAAGCTGAGAAAAAAGAAAGAAAGTAAAAATAGAAAGCGGCTTTCTGCGAGCTCTGCATTCAGGTTTCGTTGCGGCCAGGTTACCAAGTTTTGTAAAAATCCTTTGTAAAATGGAGGTCACAGTCGATTATAGCACATTCCAAGACCATATTCGAACAGCCAGGTAACTCTGAAATTCCCAACCGTAGCAGTAACTTTGTATATTTACTTTTCAATGATAAAGATATGAAGCATACCTCTCAGTTAAATAACGGTATTACGGAATGAGTATGCGCAACTTGAAGTTATTTGACTGCTCTAAATTAAATTTTGCAGATACGAACATACTCTTTAGCTCGTAATCTTTCATATGTCGATGAACGAATTTGTTCCATAAGCTTGTAGTTACATAGGTAAAATGGAAAAAGTTTATGAGAGGTTTTCATTTCGTTCCTCATACTAGGTTATACAAAAGGGCGGCCAGATTTCTGCAACCTTGACGCCGAAGGTGGTCGTTGTATGGCATACCTGAGGAGGTATTACTTCGACCAAAATGCTGGCACTTGCAAAGAATTTATCTATGGCGGCTGTGAAGGCAACAGCAACAATTTTGAGTCACTGGCAGATTGTCAAAACACTTGTGGAATGAAGGAAACTCTGCGCTAAAGATGAAATAAGTTAAGCCTCATTGTGTAAAACGCTTTCTCCATCAAGCCTTCGATGCCATTTTGTTCAGTTTTCAGACATATGTATCGTAGAACCGAGAGTACGAAAAGAAGTATTTTATCAGGACGGTAAACTTTGTTGAAGACTCAAGTAGTATTGAGCGAATTTGGTTAAAATTTCACAGAATAGATAAATAAAATGTTGAATCATCGTGGTAATACTGCTTTTAACTTCGAAAGCAAAATCATTTTCGCTAATTATGCCAAGGCGAAACTTTTATTGAAAGGGAAAAGAACTACTGACAGGCATGTGTGCCTGTTTAGCATGAAAAGTGATGTTAGGCTTTTTAAAGAGAACAAGCGTAAAATGGAAAAGGAAATCAATAGAAATACACATTTTCCGCGCAATCTTTTCGGAAACTACCCCAGCCCATCTCCTCTCCTCCTCGTCTCAACCTCGTCTCGTAATTGTGTCATCTTCGTTTCAATCTCATAGTATCGAAGTCTTGTTCTTGCCTCGATAATGGCTACTCTATCTTTCGCGTTTCCCTCGTCTTATATTCGTCTCCTTTTCGGCATGGCTCCGTCTCAACTTCGCCTTGATCTCTTGTCGCCTCCATCCATGGTCTTCACTCGGTGGTACTTTAAACTTCAGTTTATGAGAAGCGAAAACCCTAGACGCACTGTGGCTCCTCCAAACCATCAAAGATTGATGGTTTGGACCATCAGAGCTTGTTTTTCATTATGAATAAGACACGTTAGACTCAGTTAAGCGTGAATTTAATTTATCCTGAGGTGATAGCTTTGTACAGCATGAAATTGATGTTAACTAACAAATTATAATTCTGACTCTTGTAACTTAAACCCTCATCGTGCGACCGAACATCCTGAATAGTGATACTATTTAATTGTGAGATTTCTCATCGTCGTTTGTTCTGTAGTTGTTTTTGTTTCATTTTAAATTTTTGTGTTCAAGGATGAAACTAAAGAACGGATTTATTTGCGGTCCAGACATTTCACCACGGTGGAGTCGATTTCCAAGTAATCCAGCAGCCAATCACAGTCTGGGCTGCAGCAAGAGTTAAAATCACGGGCTGAAATAAAAAAAAAAAAGATTCATCGTCATCAGTCTTACTGAGCTAACAGAATGTAAGGATTCTGATTGGTTGACGTGAGTACCGATGAAATGTGATGCACTGTTATAAGAGTTAACAGCTTCTCTTCTCCCAAATGTTTTTTGTTTTTTTTTTTTGCGAAGTTTTTCATACAGCTACATATTAACATTTCTGTCGTTAGTTTTGAGTGTCTTTTAGTGTTTTTGTTTTTGTTGTTTTTAGGTCGTTAAGTCTCACAGAATTTTTTCTCACATAGCAATAAAAAATGAGCAGATCTTACCATAGCTATTCCTCCTTCCGTAATCAGATTCTGCAAATGAAGTAGAAGAAGAAATGATTAGTGGAGGCTAAAAACTAAAACATGCAAGCTTATGAAAGACTATCGAACGGTGGGAATTAGACCCGAAATAAATTGAGTGGCTAGAAATGTGACATTCAATGTAATTTTGATTGAGGGTTGCTTCCTGCATAAAACTCTTTACTTAGTCTTGTAGTTAAACTAGATATTTCCCACCTGACGTTATTGAGTGACTAGTGGCTATATCGGTAATTTAAATTGTCCCTTTTCTGTTCTTCAGAAATTCATAGAAATAGATAATCCTGAGATAGAAATTTGTCCACTCTGACCACGAAAAAAAATGGATGAGGAAATTATTTGGTCAAATGTATGGCCTTTTTGTTATCATAAGTCTGACCGGACTTTTCCGACCGATGAGAAGCGCCCTTAAATTAAAATTCATAAGCTCATTGCAACTGAGCAAAGTCCTTTGTACCTTTCATTTTAAACTCTCTTGCAAGCAAGTTTGAGGCACCTGCAATCAAAAAAAGGAAATGGTTAAAAACCAGGAGAGCAGATACTAACAGAGTACGAAATAAAATTCGGCAAAATGGTCTTAGTGCCAGCCGAAGGGCCTGCGCACATTTACACCCAGGGGTAGAGTAAAGTACATGAAGGATGAGCCTTTCCAAAATTGAAGCCTCAGCTATCATGGTCACGACTTGACACAATCTAAGCAAACAAGATTCGAATCAATTGCCCCAAGAACTGTTCTGCGATCTGCATGATTTTTTGTGCCATTTAAGGTGAACTACTTACGTTTCTTGGTCACTGTACTACATGGAACGGATTTCAAATTGATGTGGTAGTGTTTCAAAAGTCCAAGCTCCTCGGCACAAGGCATTTCATTACGAGTTTCTGGAAAAAGCAAGAAACATGCATGGCAATTTGGAATAGAACTTGGCACTGTCTTCTAGGTAAATAATAAGAGTGGAAGTAATCTTTACAAAGTCAAAAACTCGTAAATGAAAGGAAAGGTCCAGTTTTAAATTTAGTAACATTCACCTTAGCCTTCTTTTTAGTCTTTTTGTGGACAATGATGTCAAACAAAAACTTCATCCGTTCAACGTACCACACCTTAATTATACTCATATTCTTTTAGGTTAAAACCAACTGCTTTCGAATTATTAATTTTTGAAACTATTCCAAGCTCTCAAATCATTTTCAAAATTTTTAAGCTAATAAGAAAATAGTAATGCGTTACAAAATCTTATCTTACCAAGCTCGTCTTCTTGTTCTCGTATATTCGCTCCTGTAATAAATCATAGAAAAGCAGATTGTTCAGGGCGTTACTTTTGCCAATCGGTTTTGCATTTGCAGTGCACATATGAAGTAAATGAAGAAATAATAAAGAAAAAAGGATTTAGAATTTTCTCCTCTCGGAATAAAATACGTTTAATTGGCGTTGTAAATCTTTAGGAAAGATTCAATGTGACAGAGTAATTAAAATAGCTTCATTAATGCGAAACCTGCCAATTTTTTATATTACCGAAGCTCGCTAACAAGGTGGACCTTCATTGTCCTTAAATCGGGTGCAATTCTTCTACTTATTCTTTCGTTCTGTCCCTCTGAATTAGAAAATAACTTTCATTCTTCAAGTAACATACATTTGCTGAAGGAACTGAATATATCAGTCAAAGTTGAAACAACGCCTTAGAACCTTGTAAGCCTATAATCTGAAAGGAACAAAATCATGGAGACGATGGAAGATTTTGCCATTTTTAAAAAGTAACTTGGTGGTGATATCTGAGGAAGTCTTTCACCTAATCCCTCAAAATTTTATGACAATAAATTTTCGTTCTCCCTCTAAACTGAGAAGAAATTGATAAGACATGATAGGCAAACTGCAACAGACTGAGAAGAAAATAAATTCACTTTGTCTTTGAATCAGGAAACAATAAATAAAAGTAAGTAAATGAAAATAAGTAAGTATTTTCACTAGTACTGACGTGTATCTTGCAGCCATTCACTTTCTATTAAATCTAGGGAAAATAATTATGGTTAGAATTAAAGTTACAGGGTTAGAGCGGGGAATTAAAGCTATATTTAGGTTGCCGTTAAATTCGGTTTCCTATAACTTACTACAAGGATTCATGATTGGCGATAATTTAAACTTTACTATGATGTTAGCTATGTCAGTTGCCTATGCCATAGCCCGTCTTTTTGTTAGTTAGTTACCCACATTCACACTTGATTATAGAAATTTCTCATATTACTTCGTAAGAAATTTCTAAGAGATGTAAAACTCCTCAGAGGATATATCAGTTTTAATTTACTGTAACTTTTGAGTAAAGAAAACTATTCCTACGCATGAAAACTCCCTATTCATAAATTTAATTCAAACTTTTTTGATGAATAAGGCATCAAAGCTTTTTTACCTCTAGAAAACCTTTTGCAGAGTTTGCTTTGAGTTGTGAATTTGCCGAGAAATGTGTAAATAACAGGTGCATTGGTGACCGGATTTTTGCAATTTATTACCTTTAATGAGTTCCAAAACAAAAAACAAAAATATGGATTGATTTGCTTTCCAACTTTCGTCATATTTATATTTTTTCTCGGAAAAAGAAAAATTTTTCTAAGCCCTCTTGCTGCACAATGGTTTTGTTGAAACCTTTCCGAGACATTTTTGGTCCCTTTTGCATTAACATAAACAGTAAGTTTTATTCCAGACAAATCGACGTATCATTCGTATGGAAAGAACAAATCATCAAAGAGGCTTCTAGATATAATAATAAAAAAAAGGATGGAAAAGATAATAATCGTTGACTTCAAATAAAAAGCATGAACAGTTAAGCTACATTTCTAATGAGTTATTAACCATGACATATAAGGAAATTAAAAAAAAGGCTCGAGCGGAAAAAAAGTTGTAGAAAATTCGTTTTGAAGCATTGAAATAACTTTTGTTTATATTGTAAAATGTGGCAAACACTTATGCTGTAAACATTAAGATCCACATCAGGAAATTTTGAAGCATCTGAAAGAACTTTAAGTCTGCATCTCTTCCATAGATAAAACAAGTCGGAAAAGGGCGACGAATGCTCCTTTTCAAATTATATGTGCTTCCTGCGCGAGATAGAAAAGAGGTTGCTTTTTTTGTAAAAGCGTGGAATAAATGGAAAAGAGCTAGTCTTTAATCACAAACTCCGTCGCAATAGATTACCAACGAGGATGTCAATTAGGTAAAAAACTTTTATATGTAGTGAGCGGGGGAAAAAAATCAAGTGATTTCTCTTATAAATTTTGTTCTAGTTTTGGATTAAATAGTTGAAGTTTAAAGTCAGACATCTCATAATGCAGTGTTTTGTATTTCCTATTTCCAAAAATGCAATCAAGAAAACCGTGTCCGTAGTTGTGGCTTTTAAAACTGGGGAAGGCTAATTGCACTTCACACTCAAAGAACAGCGACGGTGATAGTAAGGAGAAAATGTCTGTTATTTGGGTCAGAGTTAAAATAACTTGATACACAACAACTAATCCTGCATTGGTAAATCATGAATTATTAAATATATGTTTGACGCCTTGCTATGATAAAGTTCGCTCACTCTTTTCCTCCAGTGTCTGAAAGAAATATTTTCTAAAGGTGGAAAAAATAGGTATTTGATAAATTACCTCTAAACAATTATAACCAAGCTTGCCAAGTGTTAGGTTTTGCAATATCGTTATCGGAAATATTTCGTCATGTCATTTGTTTCTTTTCACGTGAGACATCTCATAATCGAAGTAGAATTTTTTTCCGTTATTCTGTTCAGCTTGATATTTTCAA